CCTAACATGACCAGCAGGGTGTAGTGTCAGCTTAACGTGACGATAAAAACGGAAAACAGAAAAACAGACAGACGTATCCTTTAAAAATAATCACAAACCCTGCAGTAAAAAAAAAAATCACCAAACTTTCCAGAACACTGATCAAACTCAAGACTTTCTGTTTAACTCCTTCTGCCTGGTAAACTAGGTCTAGGTGCATGACTGCCACCTACAGGGCTGGAGTTTGTACTGCACTGTTGTTGTACAAACCAGTGCATTTTCACTTCATATTATGTTTCTGTAACGTAATCATCAGGATTAACATGTCGACGTGTCCAGGCTGTAGTTCATACTTCTCACCACCGTCAGGACTAGTCTGTGGACTGGACCGTCCAGGGTCATGTGACCACCTTCGCTGGTTCTGCATCAAATCACAGAATTTCTCCAGTTTTACTTCATACTCTTGTTAAAAAAAACAAACTCTGAGGTGTGCAACTGAGCACCATGACAACTTTTGGGACTCTGGTGCCAGACGCTCAGGGGACGATGATGTCATTTCTGGCACACACACACACACACACACACACACACACTCACACCAGGACGCAGTGTGGTGCCTGTAAACAAAGCTGAGGAGCCGTTCAGCCACAGTGTCACTGGTTATTAATAAATGGACAGAAACGTCGACGCCTTCGTCAAAACACGGCCGATCCTGCAAATCAGAATTCATTTACCTTGTACACTACACCTCTAGGGGGCACACTCACAACTTTGGAACTGCTGTTTTAGGCTAAACTGAACACAGAGCTAACAGTAGTTCATATCCAAAAACAGTGACTGAGTGACAGGATGGTGAGGTGACTTGTTCCAGTACTGTTAGGAACTGGGTTTTTTTACTTAAAAACAAAACAAGAAGCTTTTGAATTCCTGAGCCAACGATAAAATAAAACAATAAAACAAATTATAATAGAGTGTGAACACAGAGTACAGTCGGTTCCTGTTTCTGTTCCTGTTCTTTCACATCTGAACAGCTCACAGTGTCAGAGACTCATGATCGCTGGTTTGAAACCTTCAAACTAATTCAAACATTTTTTAGACTTGAAAACATTTTCCCACCATCTGATGAAGTGAAATGAGTAACAATGAGTTAAACATAAGGGGTCTTGCAGACATGACACACACACACACACACACCTCTAGAATATCTCCACACTGCAGGTTGTTGTTATACAAGCATGTAATTCCTCCGTTCACCCTGTAGGCGGTTCATAAAACACGTTTGTGAGCACAGCGATTGGTTGAGTAGTACTGTTGTAGTACTGTTGTAGTAATGTTGTAGTACTGTTGTCGTACTGTTGTCGTACTGTTGTCGTACTGTTGTCGTACTGCTAGAATACCTGGGAAAACCCCAAGAACAAAGAGGATCGAACCGGTGACCTTCTTGGAGAAGACGGCATGTCTAGCCGCTGCCACCACGTGACTGACTCCACGGTTCATTTGACAAAACTCCGTCATGATTGAAAATCCAACTGTTTTTGTTTTTCCACACTTTGCCTCAAACGACCTGCGGGGGTCACTGATGAGTTCACGCCGCCGATAAATCCACCCCGTGACCGTCTGTAGTAAACAACAATAAAGTCCAAATAATTTACACTTTTAATTAAAGATCTAATTGAAGCCGCGGATGAAGCCTGACACTTCATCTCCTCTGGACCAATCAGGCGTCGACTTCATTCACTGACTAATGTGTGGGCAGTCAGCCCGTGTTTTCACGGCTGATGTGTCCCATCAGTCACGAGCTCCACTCCTCAATAAGTTTCCCCTCGCTGACGTCACTGCCTGCGCAGGTGCCAGGTACTGGCTAATCACTGTCAGCTTTTTTTAAAGGCACTGGAATAAATACGCTCCGTGATTTCCTGCAGGGGGGGCTGGAGGGGGGTGAGTGTGACATCTGTTTACGACTCTGGAGCAGCTGACTGCACCTCTGGGAGCGTGTTTTAGGAAAACACACACACACACACACACACACACACACACTACGAGAGATCAGGCGCTGCGGCGACGTAAACGCAGCGTCCAGACCCGCCGTCTGTGGACGACACTGTTGTTCCAGCCATCCAGGCTCCTGCCGCGGGCACATGTGCGTGCGCACACGCTCCAAACGTGCACTCTCACAGAAAGCGTGGCGGTGACAACGGTTACCAGGCTTCATCTATTGTCCACAACCTGCTGCTGCTGCTGCTGCTGATTCTGGCGACGCATCTTGCTTTGCCCGCTGACTCCA